AGCTCTAAATAAGGACCTAGAGCATTGGGGCTTAACAGACATCTATAGAACACTAAACCCAAAAAAAATGGAGTACACATTTTACTCAAGCGCACACGGATCATTCTCCAGGATCAATCACATACTGGGGTACAAGACAAACATCAACAGATACACCAAGATTGAAATCATACCAACCATCTTTTCTGACCACGAAGGCATCAAACTAGAAATAAATCATAAAAAGAAGGCAAGGAACTATCCTACCTCATGGAGATTAAAAACCATACTACTGGAAGACCACTGGACTAACGAGGAGATCAAAGAAGAAATTAAAAATTCTTTGAATTGAATGACAAGGAGGACACCAATATCCTAAATGTATGGGATGCAGCAAAAGCAGTAATAAGAGGAAAATATATAGCAATAGAAGCTCACATCAAAAAACAAGAAAGAACTCAAAGAAACAACCTAATCTCGAAGCTCAAAGATCTAGAAAAAGAACAACAAAAAAACCCCAAAACCAGTAGAAGAAAAGAAATAATAAAAACCAAAGCAGAAATAAATGAAATTGAAACTAAAAAAACAATCCAAAAGATCAATGAAACCAAGAGCTGGTTCTTTGAAAAAATAAATAAAATAGACAAACCCCTAGCCAGGCTCACAAAGGAAAAAAGGGAGAAAGCACAAAAAAAAGGGAGAAAGCACAGAAATGAAAGAGGAGAAACAACGGACACAGCAGAAATCAAAAGAATAATCAGTAACTACTATGAACAGTTATATGGAAACAAGTTCAACAATCTAGAGGAGATGGACAAATTCCTACAACTCTACAATCACCCAAAGCTAGATAAAGAAGAAATAGAACACCTAAACAGACCAATTACAAGCAGCAAAATTGAAATGGTAATCAAAAACCTCCCCAAAAACAAAAGCCCAGGACCTGATGGATTTACAAATGAATTCTACCAAACATTCAGAGACGAATTAGTGCCTATCCTTCACAAACTCTTCCAAAAAATTGAGAAGGAAGGGACAATACCAAACACGTTCTATGAAGCCAATATTACACTAATACCAAAACCGAATAAGGACAACACAAAAAAGGAAAACTACAGGCCAATCTCCCTAATGAACACTGATGCAAAAATCCTCAATAAAATTTTAGCTATCAGAATCCAACAATGTATCCATAAGATAATTCACCACGACCAAGTTGGATTCATTCCAGGGACACAAGGATGGTATAACATCCGAAAATCAATCAATGTTATCCAACACATCAACAAAAAGAAATATAAAAACCATATGATAATATCAATAGATGCTGAGAAAGCTTTTGACAAAGTGCAACACCCATTCATGATAAAAGCCCTTGAAATTCTTGGGATACAAGGAACATACCTCAATATCATAAAGGCCATCTATGACAAGCCAACAGCCAGTATCATTCTCAATGGTGAAAAGCTGAAAGCAATTCCATTAAGATCTGGAACAAGACAAGGATGTCCACTCTCACCACTGCTTTTCAATATAATACTGGAAGTCCTAGCCAGAGCAATAAGACAAGAAAAAGACATCCAAGGAATCCAAATAGGAAAAGAAGAAGTCAAACTATCACTCTTTGCAGATGATATGATAATATACATAGAGAACCCCAAAATCTCCACAGAAAAACTAATTCAACTCATCAATCAGTTCAGTAAAGTGGCAGGATACAAAATCAACACGCAAAAGTCAGTAGCCTTCCTATACACAAACAATAAATCTGAAGAAGAAAAAAAAAACCATCCCTTTTATTATTGAAACAAAAAAAATCAAATATTTGGGAATAAATCTAACAAAAGAGGTAAAGGACCTATACAAAGAAAACTATGAAACACTGTTAAAAGAAATAGAAGAAGACACAAAGAAATGGAAAGACATCCCCTGCTCATGGATTGGAAGAATAAACATTATTAAAATGGTCATCCTACCAAAAGCAATATACAGATTCAATGCTATTCCAATCAAAATTTCAATGTCATTCTTCAAAGAAATAGAACAATTATTGATGAAATTCATATGGAATCACCAAAAACCCCAAATAGCCAAAGCTCTACTGAAAAAAAAAGAAGGAAATGGAGGCATCACACTCCCAGACTTCAAACTATACTACAAAGTCATAATCATCAAAACTGCATGGTATTGGCACAAGAACAGACATACAGACCAATGGAATCGAATAGAAAATCCAGAAATAAACCCACAGATTTATGGTCAACTAATCTTTGACAAAGGAGCAAAGACTATGCATTGGAGCAAAGAAAGTTTGTTCAATAAATGGTGCTGGGAAAACTGGGTTGCTACATGCAAAAGAATGAAGCTTGACCACTACCTCACACCATACACAAAAATCAACTCAAAATGGATTCAAGAACTAGACATAAGACCTGAAACCATAAAATACATAGAAGGAAATATAGGCGAAACACTACGGGATTTGCACATCAAAGACATCTTTACAGACACATCACCCAAAGCAGTGATAGTGAAGGCAAAGATAAACAGCTGGGACTACATCAAATTAAAGAGCTTCTGCACAGCAAAAGAGACAATAACAAAAACAAAGAGAAACCCCACCAACTGGGAGAACATTTTTGCACCCAACACTAATGATAAAGGACTGATCACAAAAATCTGCAAAGAGCTGATGAGACTCAGCAACAACAAAGAAAATAATCCAGTCAAAAAATGGGCAGAAGAGCTAAAAAGAAACTTCTCTGAAGAGGAAATGCAAATGGCCAACAGACATGTGAAAAAATGTTCAATATCACTTGTAATCAGGGAAATGCAAATCAAAACTACCATTAGATACCATCTCACACCAGTGAGAATGGCACATATTAAAAAAACTAGCAACAATAAATGTTGGCGAGGGTGTGGAGAAAAAGGAACTCTTCTGCACTGTTGGTGGGAGTGCAAACTGGTCCAACCACTATGGAGAGCTGTGTGGAGATTTCTGAACCTACTAAACATAGAGCTTCCATATGATCCAGCAATTCCACTCCTAGGTATTTACCCAAAGGACACAGAAACATCAATTCCAAAGAGCACCTGCACCCTTATGTTTATAGCAGCACTGTTTACAATAGCTAAGCTTTGGAAACAACCCAAATGCCCAAAAATAGATGACTGGATCAAGAAGATGTGGTACATATATACCATGGAATATTACTCAGCATTCAAAAAAGATAAACACATGCAATTTGCAGCAACATGGATGGCGCTGGAAGGGATCATGCTCAGCGAAATAAGCCAAAAAGAAAAAGAAAAATACCGGATGGTCTCACTCATAGCAGGAATCTAGAAAACTTAAATAAGGGACCAGGAAAATGAATATAAGAAAGTGAAAATCAAAATCAACAAAAAACTATGAACCAGAGACACTTTTTGGGGGGTGGGGGGCGGGAGGGGAAGGATTGGGGTCAGAATGGGGCGTTTGCAATTGTATGGGGGAATATAAAAATAAAATTTATTATTTAAAAATAAAAAAAAAAAAAGAAAAAAAAAGAAAGTTGGATTGTGGTGTCAGCAAATGTGCTTCTTGTTTCTTTATCCATACAGAGAAAGTTCTCTCATAAACATTGCAGTTTAGAGACAAGATGGAGTCTATTTCACTCAACAGGCTCTTCACTGGGTTAAGCAGAAATTTCCTTTTATCCAAGCCCTCCCTTTTAAAATAATACACATCCATGTAACTAGATGAAAGTAGCAATAGCCAAGGCCAACTTATATAAAGTTACCAGGCATCAAAAACCTTAATTTCCTCTGTATTCATATCATAATAATCACATCTAGTGTTTTATGGTTCTTTTTACCAGTCATTATTTTATACCATGTGTATATATTCAACTCACTTAGCCTTTGAAAGTTGAGTGAATAAACTGCGTCACAAAGAGGTCATGTCACTTCTGTAACATAAAGCTAATTATCAAAGTCAGGATTTGGTTTCAGTTAATGACTCTAAAATCTATACCCTTAGTAAGCAATATAGCACAGAGGTTAACAGATAGCAAAGGTGCGCAATTGAAATTTCATTACAATATGTGTAGTACATTCAAAAAGAAATAGTTTTTGACACTGTCACTGTGAGATGCAATCCACATAAAGGGTATGTATTACTTGTGTTCACCACTAAAAGTCTAGTTCCCTTTTTAACCTATATAGTTGATACCCTTTACCAGATTACCCATTTCCAATCTCCCTCCCTTTCTGGTTATCACTAATTTGATCTTAGAGTCTAAAAGTTTATTTTTGCTTATGTACCACATTTGGGTGTAATCATGCAGTGTTTTTTTCTGTCTCACATTTCACTAAGCATAATACCCTCTATGTTGTTGCAAATGACAGGATTTCATCTTTTGTCCATAGCTGAATGGTATCCGCATCATCTTTATAATTCATCCATTGAGGGGCACTTAGATTATTTCCAACTTTTGGCTATAGTAAATATAGCAATGATTCCTTTTTTTTTTTTCTTTTTTACATAGAGAGGTAGACTACTTTTACTTCTCTATATAGTGAAACTGTGGGATTGTTTGATTTTAGTATTTTGGCCTTTGCTGATTCTGTAGGCACTGAGAACCAATCATGTAGTTACTGAGTCACAAGGTGTAGGAGCGGCCCAGAGAGGTTAGTGGCTGGTGAGAATGTGCTGGGGGTGGGGAAAGCTCATGTTTGTGTCACCAACAATATCATTCTGAGGTTCCAGATCTGAGACTGCAGTGTGTACACTCCCAGTGCACTTCACCAAGTCACTATCAACCCTGAGGATTAAGGGAAGGGGAATGCAATCAAGTTCACCTACTTTTTCTGTTCAATGGGGAATTGGCATGTATAGAGAACCACAGCTCCTCCTCATGTGTCCAAGGTGTGTAGCTCTAGGCTGTTTAGCTCACTCCTCCCCTGGGCCACTAGCAGTGCTATAGTCTTTTCCCCCTACCTCAGAGCATAGCCTCTAGGCATTTTTCTCTACTTACCCCTATTCAAAGAAGTCCAACTCTCTTTTCTGTTGCAGTCTTTGTTGATCTGATGGGTGTTCCAATTTCAACCCAAGACAAGGACTCTCTGGGTGCACTGTTCCTTTGGTTAACTGTTTGATGAACCTCTCTTGAATGAAGCAAAGAACTTCCTCTGTTTCCCTCTTGGTTGGACTCAAGCCAACATTCTGAAAGAGCGCTGAACAATAATTTGTCCTTAGAATATCTTTTTTTTTTATAGTTTTTTTTTTTTTAATATTTATTTATTTATTTATTTATACAAGCACTGGGTACAGTCAGAACCACAGGAGGGTGAGAGAATTCACCAGAGCCAGAGCAGGCAGAAGGGCCGAAGTACACTGCTGAGGGGAGCAGCGGGTGGCAGGAGAGGTCTGCACTCTGTGTGGGACCCTCCTCCAGTGGCCGGGGAGCAGCCGGGAATCGAACCAGTGCTGCAGAAGCTGCGGACAGCTTCTCAACCCAGCACTCAACCACTGCACCACCGGGGAGGCCCCTTAGAATATCTTATATAGCCTTCCTGTTTTGTCAGTTTCTCTGACATACATGTTTAAGTTGATCCATTTGTTATAAGGTCATAAATACATTAATCTAAATTACTAGGGATATCATATAGACATACATATGTATAAATTGAATTATTTTCCTGATAATTTTGTTATTTAATTTTATGGCACCAATGAAGATTGATAAAGATAAATGAATTTATGCACAGTTAATTCAATGTGCACATTAAATATATAAATAAGTAAATGAAACAACATAAAATATTGTGTATATAAACTAAAGTTTGAGTGAGTCTGATTCTTTAAATTCAACTTGAAACTACCAAAAGCCCACAGGGAAAATTTTAAATATGCTTCTATTTTATTCATCCATATTCCAACTCTCTGCCAGAAAACTACCCCATCAACTGACCTCATGCTCCAACTAACATTCAGCATCAACTGTAAGCACTTCAACCTTCTTAGAATTTAAATTTTTAATTTAAACTATGTACTTTTTTTTGCAATCTTGCTTAGGTTTGCATTGGCATTTCCTAGAGGGAATTTCATCTTAATACATATTAAGATAAAAAGTTTTTTGAAGTTAAAGTATGCCAAATTTTATGGCATACAATGGAAAAATTAGTAAATATTCTCATCAATATGACATTTCTACTATGACAAGAAAATCTCTGTAATAACAGAACTGCCAAATAGATTTTTCTTGCATTGGGAGGGGATAAAACTTTAGAAGAAAAATCTCTTCCTTGCATAGATTCTAGTCAAATTGATTAGCACGTTTCCTCACTCCAGTCATATATATATATATATATATATATATATATATATATATATACACACACACACACACACACACACATATATATATGCACACAACAAAATATAACTCCTATATTCTTATGTAAAGGGCTGTGGTGAGATGACTTAGTGCTAATTAGTGATGCCATTCCTTTTTCTTTTGAAATTGTTAACAATTTAAGAAACAATTGGTTTGTGATAGCTATCAAATGACTAGTATAAGGTAGTTGGAATGTTTTGGTTATTTTAGTTGTTGAAGCATCAATATAATGTTACTTATGCACATAAATGCACACCTATATTTAATTAAAATGCAGTTTTCCCTAATGTTGCCAGATTTGAAAGCATAGTAGCTTTTTTTGCTTCTAAGCATGCTAAACGAAATCAATGCATGTGTTCCTTTTACAGTTGAATTTTCAAAAAAAAATGTGACTACATTTAGTTTTCTTATTCCTTTTTCACATGGACTTTAAGAATATGAGTTTACTTGTGCAAGAACATACAGTAAAAAAGACAATATAAAAATGACTAAGTACACTTTTCATAAACTAAATGGAGATGTTTGTGGTTACAGTACCCCATAGTATTATTAAAATCATTTATTTATAGTTATTGCTTTACTTATGACAGCCATCAATACTCTTCTGCTACTGCATAATCTAGGTTACCATAACAAATATCTCATCTTACCCAATCTCACACAAGCTAAATATAATTACATTTTGTGCTGATTAAAGGTTTGTTAAGTTCTTTGCCCTCAAGAGTTTATGATCCATAGGAGATGTAAACATTCCTATTATTATGGATAGATATAATCACTGATTCTGTGTATTGGTTTGAACAAAGATCATTCAAAATAAGTGAGGATAAATAGCTTCTTTAGTTCTCTCTTTAGTTTTCCACTAATCTTCCATTCTTTCTCAACTGAATCTTTTGTGGTCCTTATAATTCCTCCCCTTAAACCAATCAACATTATGGTATAGATTTCCTATTTCATTATCCCTCTTTCCTTTTGCATACTAATTATGATTTCTTGCAAATCCATACCAGAGATTCCTTCTCTCTTTCCTTCATCTTACCTACTTCTAACTAAGAGCTACAACAATCTTTCCTTCTCCCTATCTCTAACCCCCGTTGGCATTTCTCACTTGATATTTTCTGGTGCTATTTTTCATTATCCATTTATCTAGGGTGAAAGGTCCTAACTATCTCTCCAAATCCTGTAACTCTAAAATTTGCAGCAGTACTGTTGTAAGGGGGTGCAAAATTCAAAGTACGAGACATTGAATTTCTACTTAATTCAGATCAACTTAAGCTTAGCTCTAATAGATAGACCATGGTAATTGCTTATGCTTTTTTATGAATTGAGAGTAAAACATTGATCATTTAAAAAAAAAAAGATTCAACACCTACTAAATGCAAAGGAAAATACATTGGAAATGCAGTGAAATAGTAGAAAATCAATTCCTCATTAAGAACACTAAGTAAATATTTTTGCCCTTATTCTGTTTCTCTTCACCAAGTATCTCCTTCATTTCTGCACATTTTTTTTGGTCACCTTTCTCCTTGTGATATGGTCCTGTCTCGCTTCTGCTGATCACATCATATAACATTGCAGCCACTACTATATATTGATGTTGTTTTTCATCTACTATCACAGAATTTGAAACATAACTCTACACACAGAAGATAGAATTATACATAAAACATATATACATCAGATTCTGTTAATTCCATTTGGCTTAAGTGTATCTCTGAAGCATTGATGTTTAACAACAAAGAAAAAGAAGAATATCTCTGATGAGAGAACAATATAAAATAGATAAATAAAAAGTAATTGTGTAAAAACTCCTTGGAGGGAAAAAAGTTGCTTTCATATATCTAGGTCGATAACTTTTGTATACAAAAGTTATTTTTAATAACTATTTCAAACAATCTTAGTTTCTTTAGAAAATGTGAAAGACTACAGATTTATGTCTGATGACAGACAAAACCCTCTTGATTATTCATACAGCATTCTGTTATGACTCAATTTTTTGATTGTAAGGAAATAGTCACTTCTTTTAGTGGGTCAAGTCTGTCTCAGCTAGTCTGGTATCATTTTTAAAAGCAAATCAATATTTTTTTAATAAAATATTTTGTCTAGATCTTCCCAGTCATCTCTGAAATTAACTTTGTAATGAAATAATCCCTTGAAGTCAAACACATTTCTTAATATGAAAATCTGTAGTTCTCACATATAGGAAATGTAATTACCTTGTATCAGCTTACCCAGTGGTGAATCTGGATAGTAGAAGTCCACAGAAATCTCAGCACACAGGTTGCACAAGTTGGAAGTTTCTAGAATCACCCTACAAAAGAACATGTTTATTGGGCAATTAAATTTGTCATTTATGAGAAAAATTGAGTATTATCTGAAAGTTTCCATAAAATTAGTTTAATAAAACAGCTATTGCAATCAAATTTCAAAAGTGGTAAAAATGAGACAACTGATAAATTTATGTAGCTTCCATGGTGATAGCAAAATGATTAAGTTTTTCTTGATTTCCTGAATCATCTTAATTAAACCCATAGCTGTGGAAAATGTGTTAATGACTATCCTTTGACAAACCTAATAAAATTACATAGTGGTATTTATATTTTTCTTTATATATAGTCTTACTAAGTGCAGTAAGCATTGAAATAATTCTGGGTGTTGAAATGTGTCATTTAAAATTGTTTTTTAATAAAAATGGCCATGCTTTTGGTAGGAAACAACCCAAATGCCCAAAAATAGATGACTGGATCAAGAAGATGTGGTACATATATACCATGGAATATTACTCAGCATTCAAAAAAGATAAACACATGCAATTTGCAGCAACATGGATGGCGCTGGAAGGGATCATGCTCAGCGAAATAAGCCAAAAAGAAAAAGAAAAATACCGGATGGTCTCACTCATAGCAGGAATCTAGAAAACTTAAATAAGGGACCAGGAAAATGAATATAAGAAAGTGAAAATCAAAATCAACAAAAAACTATGAACCAGAGACACTTTTTGGGGGGGGGGGGCGGGAGGGGAAGGATTGGGGTCAGAATGGGGCGTTTGCAATTGTATGGGGGAATATAAAAATAAAATTTATTACTTAAAAAAAAATAAAATAAAATAAAATTGTTTTTTAAAACAAAGCATATACAATATCATGTGCTACAAAATGTGCCTATTGTTTGATTTTTAGGGTGCATTTTTCTAGTTTCTATATGATACAATATAATTAGTTATCAAAAAGAAAAAATACCCTCTTAGAATTCAGATTTTATTTAATGTCTTTGAAGTTTAAATACCATTGTTACATTGTAGTCTACCTCTAATGCCTAAGATCTTCCCTCTTCTTTAAACATTTATACAATATGGAAAGTATGTGTTCTATAGGGATCACTCAGCACTTACAGTAGGATTCCCATCTTTTACTTTATAAGTTTCATAAGAAAAATGAAGCAGAAGTAATTTAGAAAAAAACATTGCACCTAATAATTGAAGTTATGGCAACTTAGATTTTCTTGTTTCTGAAAAAAATCATATGAAGACTAAGGAATCTTTTAGTGATCATATTTTTGAGGTTTTACTACCTTACAAACAACTACCAACTAAAAGCATTTCTAAACAGTGTTTTAGAGTAGCATGCTTTGATATTTTAAAATTTTAAGCTATTGCTTGGGCATTGTCCAAGTGAAATTATGTGGTATTTGAACAAAACATTTAAGCTGGAGTTTAAGAGACCTTTGAGACTCGAAAAGACTTTTTTTCTCTTGTTGAGTATTTAATTTAGATAACAATCTGCAATACAACCAATGTTCTCTGCTCCAAATGAACTATTGTTTAGAATAATTATAAACAGATACAAGTATTAGGAATGCCGTCTAGGTGAATGTCTTATTTTTTTTCTTTAAAGGCAGTTGAAAAAAAATATTAACTAAAAATATTAGATTTGTCTGACTTTACTCCATAGCTTTTAGGCTACCAAATTGAAGTTATGTTTCCAGAAAAATGGAGGTGGGGATTTTACTACTACACAGAGTTACTGCAATAGTGTTATTTACTTATAATCTAAAGAATACAAAAATGTTGTCATCTCAAAAAACATCAAATATGTATGTTAATATAAGTCAGATATTGTTACTCTTCTGTGCAAAACACCCCAATGGCTCCTATCTCTGAGTACAAACGAAAGACCTTCAAAGTTGTTTAGACTTTACCCATATTCTAGCAACATCTCCTTTCACCAACAACATTTACTACTTGGTTAGTCATGGATTCCAGTTTTATATTCTACATACTATGACTGCAAAACATAGTATTCCAGAACTTAATAGAGAGAACAAGTCTCCCAATAATCCAGCCACCAGTCTTCATATTTTCTAACTAAGGCCCCATACGTGGTGGAAGAGCTATAAACCATCCCTGAAGTACACTTTCAAGTTCATGATCCTCAGGACCTGTGACCATAACTAATAGTTGCTTTACTCCATTAAGCTCTGAATCTATGTAATAAAAGATGCCAGGCAGACATCCATATTGAGTAAAGTGAACAAACAACTTCTAGTGTCTTAAACAACTGGTATTTTTGAGCATTATTTCCTATAGCAGTCTGTCATTCAATTTAGTAACCAAGTTTATTAGACTCTAGAGAACAAAAAATAACTAAAAATAGTTAAAAACTAAAACATTACACTAGAAAATATCCACTTGATAAAAGGGAGGAAATGATCAAATGATGGCAGATATAAAATACTATTAAATGTGAATGGATAAAACAACCCAACTAAAAGCAAAGGCTGTCAAATTAGTGAACAAGAGAAAGATCTAGTTATATGAATTGAATAGGAGAGGCACTTTAGAGTCAAAGATAAAATTGGATGGGCCTATATTACACTTTCAATTTCTATTGCCTACTTCCAACCCATTCTTCATTCAGAATCTACTGCTTAAAATCACCTAATGACATCCCAGCTATTCCAGTTGTGCAGGTTACATTCACAGGACACATTCCTCTCCAGCATCAACTGGACTTCTAGGAGGTATCTATTAGACTGGGGGCAAGGAAAGGAAAGGGAAGGAATTAGAATAGCAAGGAATATTGAAAGAACACATACCCTGTTGTCTACTTCAGGACTTCAACAGGAGGAAGTCTACCCATGGACCTCTCTGGTTTTGACCCTCTTGAGGATTCACCACCAGATTGTGGGTACCTCCAAAGCCCTTGGTCCTAAGTCCACACCCTTTCCCATTTTCTGCTGACTCCTTCAACTAAAAATAATACTATGATCTAACTGATACTGAATGCAAATTACTCTTATGAAGAAATTCAACAAACTGTAAGAAAACTCAGAAAGGACTATCAGTGATTGAAGGAATAAATGTAATTAACAGAATGAGTTCTTTACCAAAGATTGAGATTGTACATATTCAAATACTGAAATTCTATGAAGATGCAATGGAAAGCATTTGTAACAGAGCAGACAAAAGAATAAATAATTTGGAGAGGAAGCTAGGAAGTATTCAGTTAGAAAAGGAGAAAGAGTTACCTTTTTTTTTTTTTTTAAGTTATAACATTCTGGTGGAGTCATTGGATCAGAAAGGAAATAAGAATAATTAGTGATCCAGGAAAAGAAAAGAGAGAGAAAGTGGCACTGATTATTTATAGGTTAGTTAAGGAATTTCCAATCCTTGGGACAAAAATTGGACAAATATATGAACACCTTATTAATCTCAATGCAAAAATACCCTTTGATAAAACTGTCAAAAGTCAATAAGATTCTTTATCAAAGGCACCCCCATTAGGCTATAAGATTTCTCAGCATAAACTGTCTACAGACTAGGGAGAGAGTGGAATGATGTATATAAACAAAAATTTCCAGCTAAGAATACTGTATCTTATGAACTTAATCGTCAGATGTTGAGGCAAAACAAAAACTAGTCGATTAGTGGTCAACTCCCTATCTTCTAAGAAGTGCCAAAAGTAATTTTTCAGGTGGAAATGAAGAAACTCTAATCAATGATATGAAAATTACGTAACACTGTAGAATAGGTGAAAGCAAGAAGAAGATGGCACTAGAGAGCCCTTATATAATCACTGTAAATGTAACTGAATTCAATTCACTAGTCAAAAGGCAAGACCCAACCTATGTACTGAAAGGTACCACCCATATTAGAATCTAGGAAAGCCAAACCCGTAAACAATAAAATGGTGATTGCCAGGAGATGGGACTAGGGAGCTTGGGCCAATATTGTTTAGATTACATTTTTTTAAAGATTTATTAATTTATTTATACAAGCACTGGGTACAGTCAGAAGCACAGGAGGGTGAGAGAATTCACCAGAGCAGGGAACAGAACAGGCAGACTGACGAAACACACTGCTGATGCGAGCAGCAGGCACAGCAGGAGAGGTCTGTGCACCATGTGGGACCCTTGCTGGCAGGCCGGGATCAAACTGGCACTGCAGAGGCTGTGGGCAGCTTCACAGCCCAGTGCTCAACTGCTGCACCACCAGGGGAGGCCCTAGATTACAATTTTACCATGATAAGAAGTCCTTGAACTCAAAGGCTTAAGCTTTAAACACAGTATAGTAAATGTGGACAATGGTATTAAACAATTAAACTTTCTAAGACTAGAATTTAATTTTCAAACCTCTGAAAAGAAGTATGTAATGTGATAGAGGTGCTAATTTTTAGTACAGTGACAATCATATTACCATGTATGAGTGTATCTAATATTATATACCTTAAATTTACAGTAAATGTCCAATATATTTTAAAGTATATGTATTCAATTGATATAGCTAAGTATTTTGTCTTACAAAAATACACAAAGAAGCCTGAAGAGTATTCATTCCAGCATGATTTTGGTAAAACATTAGAGGAACTAAAATAGCAATGAAATTGAATAAATTATTATGCACAGGATATTTTTATGCATTAAGGTAAGATGATCACACTAAATATCATGTGGGTATACGCACAAACGAGCTCATGTCTATTTGTGTGTGTTCAGAAAACAATCTAGAAGAATACGAAAAAGCTGAAGTACACTATTTTTACCCTGTTTTGGAGAGTGAATTTGGATATGGTAGAGAAGTTTCTTTAAAAAAAATTCAATCAGAATACATTTAAAAAGTAATATTAAAAAAAAAAACTTGAATGTATGTGCAGAGATCCCCTTTTTGTTAGGGAGAAATTAAAGGTAATAGATCATAATACTGATAAGCAGGGATTATACAGTGCTGTGTATTAGTTTTAATGACCATGGCCTAATTTAAAAATTGCTGCTTTCCACTTTCTAAAAATGTTTTTTATGAATATCAATTATTTA